ACCCACCGACACTGTTCCAAATCCCAGGGGCAACCTCTGTGTAAGTGGAGCAGGCACTTGCCAGCTGCTCGTGCCCGTCCCTATTTGTCTGGCAGACTGTGGGACAATCCAACAGGTACTTAGTCAGCAGTGCCCTCAAAGCTCGAGGCTGAGGAAAGCGCTGCATGTTATTACAACTTACTCTGAGCAGAGCTCCCTCAGGTAGCTCAATAATGTCATCATGTGCACACCAATAAAACATGGGTGCGAGGAGTGAGTGGGGTAGCGAGTGCTGGTGTGTGGGAGGGGGTGGGAGGGTGAGTGTGTGAGAGGACCAGGCAGGTGAGTCTATGAGAGTATTGATGTGCAAATGGTGAGGTGAGTGGGGAGGCAATTGTGTCTGTGCGGAAAGAGTGGGGCGCAGGGAAATGGGTCATAAGCCACAGGCCTGGGGTGGTGGGGGGGGGGGGGGGTGTGGGGGTGGCAGGTGAACAGAATCAGGGGTTGGCACAGAAGTGGACAGCAGGTGGCAGGTGGACAGGGGGGCATCCGTGAAGTGAATGAGAGCCCTGGAATTTTAAGGCTGGTGGTCAACAGAAAGGAAGGTTACAGGCGTTAGACCTAAGATTTCTTTTAGATATTTTTATTTTGTCATTGTGTTTATTTCAAGTTCTGCTTCAAAGCTGGGAGGAGGAACAAAGTGTTGTGATCTGATTTTCTAAGGTGCAGATGGGTGATGGAGCAGTAGGCGTCTTTGATGGTTCTGCAGCAACGGTCAGGGATGTTCAGCTTCCTGGTGAGGCAGGATACACGTTGGTGATATTTTGGTACCACCCTCTTGAGGTTGGCTTGGTTGAAGCCATTGGCCACGATGAATAAGGCCTCGGGAAATTTCATCAATGCACTTGTAGCTGTGTAAATTTCATCCAGAGCATTGTTCACTTCCACCTGGGGTGGGATACAGACTGCTGTCAGGATGGCGGAGGTGATGTACACGGCCGGTAGTAGAGATGGCACTTCACTAAGAAATTCAATGTCAGGGAAGCCGTAACTCACCATAGACACCATGTCTGAGCACCAGGAGGGGTTGATTAGGAGGCTCACCCCACTGCCCCTTACCTTACCCAAGGACACCATGCGGTCCACATAATGTATGGAGACACCTTCAGCTTGAAAGGCACAATCAAGTGTAGGACTGAGCCATGTCTATGTGAAACAGAGCACACAGCAGTCTTTCAGTTCTCTCAGGAAGTTAAGGCTAGTTCGAAGTTTGATCATAGATCACAGAATTCCTACAGTGTGGAAACAGGCCCTTCGGCCCAACAAGTCCACACTGACCCTCAGAGCATCCTACCCAGACCCATCCCCCTATAACCCACCTTATCTACACATCCCTGAACACTACGGGCAATTTAGCATAGCCAATCCACCTAGCCTGCACATCTTTGGACTGTGGGAGGAAACCGGAGCACCCAGAGGAAACCCACGCAGGGTCTAGGCCCAAAACGTCAGCCTTCCTGCTCCTAAGATGCTGCTTGGCCTGCTGTGTTCATCCAGCTCTACACCTTGTTATCTCAGACATGGGGAGAATGTGCAAACTCCACACAGACGGTCGCCCAAGGGTGGAATTGAACCCGGGTTCCTGGTGCTGTGAGGCAGCAGTGCTAACCACTGTGCCACAGTGCCGCCCAAGTTCATCCATCTTGTTTTCAATAGCTTGGACGTTTGCCAGGAATATGCTGGAGTAGGGATACTAGAAACCACATTGAAACGACATAAGGACCAGCGCAGAAATTAGTACAGTGCTGGTCTGAGGCAGTGGAAGAGCTTCTGCAGGACTGCTTGGAATCAGTGGACTGGTCTATGTTCAAGAATTTGGGGGCCAACCTAAACAAATACGCCACCACCGTCATGAGCTTCATTAGCAAGTACGTAGAGGACTGTGTGCCAAAGAAGTCAATCTGTACATCCCCCAACCAGAAACCATGGATGAGCCAGGAAATTCACTGCCTTCTGAAGGCCAGTCATGCGGCGTTCAAATCAGACAATCCAGACCGTTACAGAAAATCCAGATACAACCTCCATAAGGCCCCTATCTGCATCAAAGGTGCTGAGATGGAGAGGGTTTAGAATGTCAAGTTCCTGGAAGTGACGATAACCAACAATCTGCCTTGGAACTCTCACTTAGATGAACTGTCAAGAAGGCAGAACAATGCCTCTTCTTCTTCACAAGAGTGAGGAAATTTGGCATGTCCATAAGGACTCTCACCAACTTTTACAGGTGCACCATAGAAGGCATTCAATCTGCATGCATCGCGGCTTGATATGGCAGCTGCTCTGCCCAGGACCATAAGATACTACAGAAAGCTGTGAACACAGTCCAGACCATCACGGAAGCCATGCTCCCAGCCATTGACTCCATCTACACTTTTTGTTGCCGTGGAAAAGGAGCCAACATCAAAGTCCCCTCTCACCTCAGTTATAATCTCTTCCAACCTTTCCCTTCAGGGAGAAGATACAAGAGCTTAAACACACGTACCAACAGGTTCAAGAACAGCTTCTTCCCTGCTGTTATTAGACGGCTGTACGGACCTCTCAAATTTCAAATCTAATTTCAGATCTTGCTTTTGTATACCTCATGTGCGACAGTAACTTTGTATGCTTTACTCTGTTCACCCGATGGTCTGTACATCCTTGCACATTATAATCTGCCTGTACTGCACGCAAAACAAAACTTTTCACTGTGCTTAGATACATGTGACAACAATAAATCAAATCAATTTCATCTTAAGTTCTTACTACTTGTGCCATGGCTGCTCCTCATTTACAACATCCGTTGTAATCGGGACTGAAGAAGACCTAGAAGGGCACTCTGCCTTCTAGCTACATTCAATCATGGGAGAGAAGTTCACCAAGATATGAGCATCACCATTGATGAAAGGAGGAAAGAATGCATATTTACCTTTATAACCCACTTACAGAGTCATAGAAACAGACCCTTTGGTCCAACTCATCAATGCTGACTAAATATCCTAGATAAATCTAGTCCCATTTGCCAACATTTGGCGTATTATCCTGCTAAACCTTTCCCATTCATATACCTATCCAGATGCCTTTTAAATGTTGTAATTGTACCAGCATCTACCATCTCCTCTGGCAGCTCATTCCACATACAAAACACCCTCTGCATGAAAAAGTTACCCTTTAGGTCCCTTTTATATCTTTCCCCTCTCACCTTAAACCTATGCCCTCAAGTTTTGGACTCCCCACCCTTGGCTACGCACCCTATCCTTACCCCTCATAATTTTATAAACTTCAATAAGATCAGCCCTCAGCCTCTGATGCTCCAGGGAAAATAGCCCCAGCCTATATTGCCTCTCCCTATAGCTCAAACCCTCCAGCCCTGGCAACATCCTTGTAAGAGTTTTCTGAACGTTTTCAAGTTTCACAACACTCTTCCTACAGCAGGGAGGCCAGAACTGAATGCAGCATTCCAAAAGTGGCCTAACCAATGTCCTGTACAGCCCCAGTACGGCATCCCAATTCCTATTAAACTTCACCTGCCACTTCTCAGCTCACTTACCATCCCACCAGCATCTGCATCCAAAGGAATGTGAGCTACTGCTGCCATCATCTCCAGTCAGATTCCCGTCCCCTCCCTTGTCAGCATTCCACAGGGACCGCTTTCTCTGGGACACCATGGTTCCCTCCTCCTCCACTCCCAACACCTCTCTAAACTCCCACAGCACCTTCGCTTGCAATGGCAGTAGATGTAACACCTGCCTGTTTACCTCCTCCCTCCTCACCGTCCAAGGCCCCAACACAGCTTCCAGGTGAAGCAGTTCATTCAATCTTAGTCTATTGTATTCGCTGCTCACAATGTGGTCTCCTCCTGGGGAGACGAGAAATATGCTGGGTAATCACTTTACAGAACACAAAATGACCCCAAGTTTCCAGTTGCCTGCCACTTCACGCACCACCACGTTCGCATACCAACATTTGTCGCAGGCCTGAGGCAGTACTCCAGCAAGCCCCAGCACAAGCACAAAGAACAGCATTTCATCTCTCTCAGGGACCTTACAGCCCACAGGGCTCAACATAAAGTTCAATAACTTTAGAGCCTGATTATGTCGTTCCATGTTTTTTATCCACCCCACTCCCAGGTTCTATTATGACATATGTTGTTTTCAGCACAGCCTACACATTCTTCCCTACTCTCAGCTCTCATCATCACTTATTCAGCTTCTCTTCTGTCCTGGCTTACTATTGTATGTCCATCTCTTTCATATCTCTTTCATATCTCTTTCTCTGTGCTCAATCTCAATTTATCCACTCACCTTGCACCCACCCACCATCTTGATCTTCAGCATAAATGCCACTTTTTCCTTGCTGCCAACGATTCTGATGAAAAGTTTACCAGACTCTAAACATTAACTCTGCTTTCTTCCCACAGATGCTGCCAGACCTGTTGAGTTTCTCCAGTAATTTCGGTTTTTGTTTCAAATCTCCATCATCTGCACCTTTTTTGTTTTATATCAATGGTTATGGCACCTAACAAACCTGAAACTTCTGTCAGTTAATTTGTCATGTTCCTGTATATTGTAACTGCTTATAAAACAGCAAGACCCTCACTGAGAGTCCCCGCTATATCTATATCTCACTTTTATTTCAACCACAAAAATTAACTTAGGGCTTCACAGGAAGTAAAAGATAATTGATAATTTTCTACACAGATCTGCACATGTCTCAAGTGAGAGATCAGTGAAAAAGAGGGCAAGTAAAATGTCTCCCCAAAGCACTATGCGAGACTCGCTGCAAATCAACTTAAATTCTTGTGTCCTATTTAGCAGGCCAGAACCTACTTAAAGCTCCAAGAACTCAACAAGTGCATGCTTTGAGTAGAAAAGCTCTATGTTTGCAATTCACCACACAGATTGCCATTACTCATACTTTCTGAGCACAGTTTCAGAGCCAATACGAGTTTTTAATATAAAATATGCTTTAAACATAATGATACATACACATTTTCTGGACAATTTCTTGGTTTCTCCAGTCTCCCTCCTGTTCGAACGAAGTGCAACACCTCCAGGTTAGTACGAGCTGGGTAAGGCTGCTGCCCTAATGTCATTACTTCCCACATTAAGATACCAAAAGACCTGGAAAGTGATTTGAAAAAAACATTTCGGAATAAATAAACCACCAAAAATATTAGTCTAATCGTTTGTCGGAGTTAATTTCTCATACAACCAGAGTAAAGCAAATCTTTAACACTGTCAAACTTTATGCCTGGTTAAGGAACAAATTATTCTTTAATCTAAAAGTCAGGCAACTAGGATTTCATCTCTCCTTTTTATCTCTGGATATATCTTTAAGTTTTCTGTAGGCCAACATCAGAAAAATGAAACAAAGCTTAACTATTTGATGTGAGGTGTTTTCCCACTTTGTTAAAATGTTGCACACAACCCATTCAAAGTGCATACACACAACTGGCATAAAACAGTGTCAGTGTATATTGAAAAATAGGCATTTCCCCATGCCATAATGCACCATTCCACATCCTCATTTTCACACTTCTGCTTCATGACAACTTGAACCTGTATTTGTTGCTGTATCAAATTGTTCCCATGTTTCATGAAATGAGATTGGGGCAAAGAGGAAAAGGAAGAAAACAAAAAGAGAATTAACTCAGCACTTTTAGAAATCAATATTGAACTCTACTGTGTGATTTACAGACTTAATGCTGGTCCATGAATTGGGTTTTTACTGACCCTAAGCATACACCTCACTAATACCAAAACTTCACTTCACTGAACACCTCTGGACGAAAAACAGATTACCAAACAAAAAAGAAAAGTTAGTCAATGATTAGATACTTAAAGACAGACCTTCAGCTTTGATATAGTTTGGTTTAATGCACCTTGATATATTGCATTTTGTTTCTATCCATATAATGAGGCATGGAACATACTTTAATTCTACAACTAAATATTTATTTTTTGGGTCACTTTCTTCAAATAACTTAATTGCCCCCACTTTAGGTCATCCTTCCTGTACACCATTACGAAATGACAATGGTAGACAGCTGGCCTGTTAATACGTGACCAGCTGTTGGATGGTTTACAGTAGCCATCCGATTATTTCCTTTCTCCCCTCCCCCACTTAGTACGAGCAAAATCCTTAACCCAATCCCTCGTGGCCAAGCTCAGACCAGAAGTCTGAATGCGGAAAGTGCCAGGGCTGTACTTACCACTTTGCAAATTTGAAAGCTCTGTTTTCAAATTTGCAAAGTGCTTTTCCTCTACTTGCCACTTTTTTAAAATAGTTTAGTGTCAGTGGGAGATACCTTGTAGCATCCCTGCCTCTGTGCCAGAGGCTCTGGGTTCAAGGCCCAAGGCAGGATTTGAAGGCCACAGGAGGAGATGTGTTCAGAATGTCACCAAAGAGGTTGGTTACCAGCCTGTAAATTTTTCCAATATTCCTGATGGCAGGAAGCAAGAGTGGAAAAGTTTCTGGGCCTGCCATTTGACTGAAGGCAACAGCAAACCAAGCATGATCATGGGCCAATTCAATGGACGTTCATGATCACTAATGCCCTCTTAATGGCTGTTACCAAAGGAAGAGTGTGATGAAATATGTACAATACACTTTTTTTTTGCAGATTATGATATAGGTTGATGTTGTGCAGGGCACTTTTATAGGTCAAAAAGTATTTCTGAAACACTGACCTAAAGGCATCAGCTCCAAGATGACTTATGACTTCAATCAATTGTATGATTGACTCCTGTTGTGTTAACAGAATAAAATATCAATGCTTTTAACTTTATGATAGGTAGCATAAGGAGTCTTGACTTCAGTTTAGAAGAAAACAAGTGAGTTTAGTTCAAATGAGAATAAGGATTTCCCCTTAGCAGCACTTTTGTTTTGCAGTTCAGTGGAAGGAAGGCAGTAGCAGTGTTTTTTTTTTCTAGTATATGAAGCTTCCAAGCCTGGAGCACTTGGGATAAAATCTTCCAGTTAGTAGAATTGAGAAAGTTTAGGCCATCACAATTGTGAAAGGTTAATTGCCAGACCAAAAAAGTCTTTTTAGTGTAAGAGAATGAAACTGGAAGGAGCTAGTGAAGGACAAACTTAGAAGCATTGAGAGAGGACTGTAGTTTCTCTAGGCTTGAGTCTATGTAAGGGTAGTTATGCATGTAGCTGAACTAAAGGGGAACTTTATTTTACTGTTTAAGTCAAGGTATTTCTGAACCATCTTTTATACCTGTATTGCTTATTACTGTAGTTATATGGCTACAAAAATGATTTTTTCTCCTTTGTGTAATAAGCTTATGTTCTGCATCTAGAAGAACATTGACAGACTCACGTGAATATATCTCAGCGAGGACCACCAGGCTAACCAAAAAAAAAAGAATAATATGATCTATCAAGCCAGCTTTCATCCTGAGCTCTGACGTGTTCAGTATTACAATCAGCTATGATAATCCAGGATTATAACAAGTGTCAATGGCCTCCAGGTGACTTGGTCCACACATTGGTCAGTACGCTACATCAGGCACCTTAAAGCAGCTGGGTTATGACAACATCAGTTACCCTCCTGTCTCATGCGTGTGCATCATTAACCAGCAATCAGCACTGCTTTCCAGCAAGCAGTTTCATTAACAATGTTAGTCCAATTTTACTAGTATTCTACAATGGTACTAATTTCAGTGACCACATCAATATATTGCTGGTCAATTATGTAGTATCCCCATGGAAACCAATAAATATTAATTTTCAAATCTCTTGTTTTATATCCAGGCAGTCAATTTTCCATCTATTTCTAACAGTTCTTAATGAGGATTTTGTTTTCCTTTGACCAGAGCCAATATAAAATTGGACTTTACTAGCCACGTTTTTAATGGGAGTGGGTGGGCTTGGAAGAGTGGGCACAAGAAATTTCATCTTAATCTCAGAGACCAAGGTGATATACATATCTGCAGTTATGACACAGTTCACATAATATTTTACTCTGTAGAGGGTACAAAATTTCAGGTTGTTTCTTACTCAAATCAGGACATAAGAAAGGTCTAAAGCATATTTTATGCCTGGAAAGAATGATTCAGAATACTCTTACAGTTGTTACACCAACTCACTTCCCCCAGTAGCAGAGAAAAAAATCAAAACCCAACTGCGGAGATTTTTGGTTCAGGCCTAAAAGGAATACAAAAGCAAACTGGACCTGTCCATGATAACTGGCAGGAGGTCCAAGCCCACTTCAGACTTTAGATGTAATTTAACATGATCCTAGTAGGCTCCAGGTGTCAAATTGGAATGGAAAGTCACTGTAAAAGTCAGTGCTGAGACTAATGGTTCTGCAGCACCATCTGCGGGAATCTGGTAGAAATGCAGTCATGTAAAAATAATTTAAGTACATTAGCAATTGAGAAACTATATCACTTTCCAAAATTTATTTTAATTGATATGAAATCTGAAGTCTTTGCACCTATTGGTTGGAACAATGGTGTAAGGAACAATTTATCTTTTAGCAATAAATATTAACAATGGATAGAAGTTAAACATTTTTGGGGGTGTACTTCAGACAGATTATATTTTAAAAACTTGCTATATGGTAGTTATACAGCTGTAAAAATGATTCTTGCACATCTCAATGTACCACTGTTTGAACACTGTACTGCAGGTTAATTGCTGTAAACATTTGGTTGGCTGAGCACCATTTTATTTCAATCGTGACACTTCCAATTCCAAGTCAGAGATTTAAGAGTTCTCATTCCATTTTTGCATAAAATCTAGACCAGTTCTTCGATACAGTACCAAAACAGTGCTGCACTGGTGGAAGTGATGCTCTTAATGCTTGACATCCTTGGGAAATCCCAAAGTGTTTTATAATCAAGAATTCTCGTCACTTGTTGTAATGCAAAATGCACAGACAAAGACTCCACAATCTGCACTGAGGTAAAGAATTAGATAAATTGATCTGGAGATTCCGTGAGATGGCACCATTTTTTTGGCATAAACAGCACAAAAGCACAGAACATTTTCAGCACAGTTTGCATTGTGGACAAATCGAGGGTCTGTGATCAATTATGCTTAATTTACAAACATTGTACTAAAAATAGTCATAACCTCATGGGGTGAAATAATCAGCATAGGGAGCTTCCGCTAATAGTATCCATTTGCAGGACTTCAGCAGACATTACAAGTCAAGCTTAATCTTTAGGGTGCAAGTATACTAACAGTACATTGAGGGGTTTTGAATGAACTTCTGAAAAATTAAGGAACTAACTGTAATACCTTACTGAACTAGAAAGTGTGTATTTTATCATTTTCAGTAACTTAAAATTGGTTACTTGCAGGCGCTCTGATAAAAATCCTTATAACTGGTGATAAATCAATTTCTACCTGTACCAATAACATTTTACCAAGCTATCCCAATGAAATATATAAAGAAAAATTTTTAATGCAATTTTCATTACAAGTTACATTTTAAAATATGGGCTGATTGCACTGATGCTGAGCAGAGTTTACATCCAGCAATATGAGAACTGGTTTGAGTGGGAACTTGGTGGTCAGGGGGAATAAACACCTCAAAACTGATGCAATTTGGATAGAATCAAGTGCACCCAGAGTACTGTGTGTCATAACATATCTGAACAGGTTGATTCAAAAATATCTACCCAAAGTGGAGAGTCAATCTCCTTGGATTTTAGTCATATTTGTTAAAATAGCATCACCTGTTGGGCCTTAGCATAACTTCTCATTTGAAAGGCTCCACCACTGGAATTGTAGCCTAGATGTTGTGTTCCAGTCATTGAAATGGGACTTAAACCCACAACCTCCTTACCGAAGCTACCAGAGCCACAACTAACAGGCAGGAGTTTTCTGTTCACACAGTGTGGATCCATCTGTTCAGGTGGGAGACAGTCAACGTTCCACAAGCTCTCTTCAGACATTCTTCCCTCAAACACTTGTTATAACCCACTTAGGAAGCATCTTGATTCTCGAGTCCCACTACTCCAGGGTCACCGCAAGAGCTAATGATTGAATCAAAACGTGCAAAATCCCCACTTTACCCATTAATAGAATCAGCATAGACCACGTTCCTGGACTTAACAGAAATTACTACTCATTACAAATGAGTAAAATTTGATCACAATTAAATAGCTATGAAGAGTCCACACACGGCTCTAATGATTAAAATTCTAAACACCTACACACACACATGCCTGCACCTGCACCCGCACCCACACCCACAGCAGCAATCCACAGAGTTCGCTGAGATGATATTTTTGCTTGCCAGGACTTCTTCATTGTCTTTCCTTCACACTCTTTTCACTTCTTCGCACAAAGCACAAGCAATTGGTACACTAACTGAAACGTCTCTTGGTCACTAGTTAAGAGCCTCAGCTTACACACTACCCCACCTTCCAGAGATCAAAAGGCTTCTCAGTATATTAAATCACACCAACAAGCTGTTCAGCAGCCCAGGAAATGAAGTTGTCATCAGCCTGATGGCCTTTGCCCTCCGTGACTGGTCACAATTGCACAATCCAATCAGCTACCTACTACCAGCCAATCTCACTTTGCACACACACCTCTCACTACTACGCCATCTATTTACGTCTGTCTCCCTTACTTGCCATGCAACAGTACATACATGAATTACAGTAAGTTTCAATAATTTTAAAGTGCAGCAATTCTTTCCACAATCTTTGATTTTAAAGCAGTGCCTTCTCCTTTTCAGTCCCCCATCAAAAGTACAGAAAACAAAATCATACAGTCCTTACACTCCATCAAAACATAAAATTCACAGATCATTTTTCTCATTGCTGGATGCATGATCTTGCAGACACTACATATCACTATCTGCGAAGCATAGATGAATTTGGCAGACATGATCAGGCACTACAAACACATTATGATTGAATTATTAGCATGAAATATTTACATACCAAACATCGGACTGATTTGTGAACATGCCATCAATTAAGCTCTCAGGTGCCATCCATCTGACAGGAAGTAGCCCTTCTCCTTCCTTTCTGTAGTAATCATTCTTATAGATATCTCTTGCAAGACCAAAGTCTCCTATTTTCACCTTGCGATTTGTGGAGTTGTATTCCTTTATGGAAACTAAACAGTTTCTAGCAGCCAGATCCCTTTCCAAAAAAAAAACAAAGCCACAGCAGTTACTCAACAAAATATACAGTCTGCTAAAACATACCAACATGTAAATTCCCCCTAAAATATGCATGTTTGGTTTGGTCAATGAGCCACAAACAACTTGTTGAATGTCACATTTAGGATAGCAATGCTGACAAAACTTAATTAAATCTCTAAAGGGAAGTTGGTAGTTGATCATATACCATTAAGGCAGCAGAATGCAAGAGCGTTTTTTTTTAAGCAATACCAGAGGATGATGGTGGGTGGATCAGAATTAGAAACAGGCAGCCAGTTCAGATTTATATTTTTGGGGATACTAAAGGTGCCATTCTCTGCTTGATGGGGGGGGGTCAAAAATTGACCCCACAGTATTTTAATTTGTTTCGGATTCTTTCCCAACTACTGTTCATTCCTGGAAAAGCTCTGGTAGCGCCACGACTGAGTTATTTTTATTTTGTGATCTAAGCAATGTACTGGAGAAGTCTGCAGATTTTCCAGGCTCTGCAATCTATGTAATTATCATTGTCAGAATATGAGTACCATTTTTCTTCTGCTGCTTCCAAGAAAAGCAACTCCATAGTAACAGGAGTGACTCCAGTGTTACAGCTTTTACTGATTATCTTTTTCACCTGCACTCTTTGCTTTCTGATTTATAATTGCCACAATCAGCTGCTCTGATTCTTTCCATTTCAAAACTATTCATCAATTCAGCTCACTCTACACTATACACAAACATTATCTTGGGAAGCACTTAATCATTCAGCCCTTTGCTCCTCCTGTGTTATTTAATAGGATCATGTATGATCTCAGTATAGAAGGTATAGAGGAGGTTTTGCAGTGGTAGTGCACCTATCTTTGAGCCAAGAGTCTTGGGTTCAATTCCCACCTGCTCCAGAGATGTGCAATAGCATTCTTGAACAGGCTGATTAGAAAATATCTAAGGTCCAGAAGGGGTACGATAAAGCAAATAAAAGAAGCAAAGAGAGATTATACAAAGGAGGAAGTAAAAGGACGAATGGGACTTACGAAGGACCAAAAAGAGAATTTGCACCTTTGAAGATTTGGAGATTAGAAGCAAGGGGTCTTGGCTCAGGTACTCAATATCTTGCATTTTTCTTTACCAAGGAAGCAGATACTACCCAGATCATGGTGACAGGAGGGTGCAAAGTTGGTAAGAAGATCTTAGATAGATCCTTGTTCTTAAAGTTGATGAGACACTAGGACCAGATGAAGATGAAAAGAATACTAAATGAATTGAGAGTGAGAACTTCCAAAGGTTCAACAGGACATTGAGAAGTTCAGAAGAGTTTTACCAGAATGTTGCTGGGAATAGAGGGTTTAAATGGTAAGGAGAGGCTAGATAGCCTGGGATGTTTTTCACTGGAGTGTAGGAGGTTGAGAGGTAACCTTATAGAGGTTTATAAAATAATGAAGGGTATAGACAGCATGAATGTAAGTGTGTTTTCCCTAGGGTGGGTGATTTCAAGACTAGGGAGCATATTTTTAAGGCAAGTGGAGAAAGATTTAAAAGGGCATCAGGGAATTTTTTTTTTTTTTTTTTACACAGAGAGTGGTTCTTGTGTGGAATGAACTTCCAGAGGAAGTGGTGGATGCAGGTACAGTTACAATATTTAAAAGACATTTGGACAAGTACATGAATAAGAAATGTATGGAAGGATATGGGCCAAGCACAGGCACGTTAGACTAGTTTACTTTAGGTCGCCATGGTCTGGTTGGACCAAAGGGTCTGCTTTCATGCTGTATTACTCTACATTTGTGGAGTGGGAAGCTAAAGCTTCAAGCGGAGAAATGAGAGGCGATAGCTTTTGGAGTAAAGATCATCAAGACACAGTTTAAGCTAAAGAGCACTATTCTAAAAGGTGTGCAGGAGCAGAGGGATCTGGGTGTTACGTACACACGTCATGAAAAGGTGGTAGGGAACAGAGAGAGTAGTTATAAAGCATGCAGTAGTCAAGGCTTTATTAATAGGGTCACAGAATACACTTGCAAAAATGTAATGCTGAACTTACAAGACACTTGTTAGACCGCAGCTGGGGTATTGCGTACAGTTAGTCGCCACACTTCAGGAAGGATGTGAATGCATAGGTGAAAGTGCAGAAGGGAGATGATAGCAGTATTAATACAGAGTCCCAAAAAACATTCTGGGGACCTGGGTTTGAATATCACCATTGGAATTTTAATTTTATACAAATAAAGAAGTAAAAGGTTTAGTGTGGACTATGAAATGATTGTGGATTGTTGGAAAAACCCACCTGTTTCATAAATGTCTTTTTGGGACAGAAACTGCTGTCCTTACCCATTCTGGCCTACATGTGATTCCACACTCTTGGTAATGTGGTTGATGCTTAACTGCCCTCTGAGCTGTTAGCAATGGGCAATAAACACTGACCAGTCAGCAATGCCCACATCCCATCAATGATTTTTTTTTTTTTTAAAAGTTGTTTGTGAGAACGGCTCCAGTGATGTAAATAACACAGGGAGTCTGAAGAAGTTGGTTCTGTTTTCCTTTGAGGGGCAAAAGGCTGAGAAGAGATTTGACAGCTTGCAAAATTATGAAAGATCGGGACAAAATAGATAGAATGATGCTATTCCCACTTGTAAAAGGAGCAAGAACCAGAGAATGCAGATTTAAAGCAATTAGCAAAAGAAGCAAATGTGTTATGAGATGTGAAATGTTTCCATGCAGTGAGTAGTTAGGTTCAGAAAAGCACTGTCTGAAAGTGTGGTGTAGGTATCCACAAGGACGTTAGATTATTACCGGAATAGAAACAATGTGCATGGTTACTGGGAAATGGCATTAAATCTTAACAGTTTTTTAAAGACCCTGTGCAGACACAATGGGCTGAATGGCCTCCTTCTGCTTTGTAAGAGTTCTAAGATTCTGTAATTGTGGCCTCAGCTCCATTTTCCTGACTACTTCAGATACCCTTCGACTCCCTTGTTAGTCAAAAAAGCATCTTAAATAAGATACCAATGAGAATTGGGCTTAAAAAAAACATAACCAGATTGCTTCAATTCAATTAATCAGTGCTGAAAGGCCCTCATTGGACCTTAGTCTTATAAAAAATAAGCCATAACTCCAACACTTGAATCCTAATACCATCAATGTGAAAGGCACATTTCAGCAGATTGTCCAGTAAAACATTTAAAAAAGCATGCAAACTAAAGGGTAATGACAGAAAGAGAGTGAGTGAATCAACTAGTTATTTATCTTTTTCAAAAATTATTATTTTTCTTCTGGAATGGCATCTCATGGACTCAAAGCCTTCTGCAGAGGAGAAAGTCCTGAAATCTTCTTCTGTTCTCTTGGTGATTTCCTTAAAATTGTGCCATCTTTTTGCCACTCCACTGACCATTGGAAATAGGTTTTCACTACCTGCCAATTAATACTCTTCCCAATTGTGCACAAATCAGTCACCTTTTCTCAACCCTGACTGTTTGCCTGAAAATGCCCAAGGCCAAATTTCCACCATGGAGAAGATTTCCTATTTTCCAAGATTTTACAATTACTTACCTTCCACAAAGTTCGGAAAAGTAAACAAATTGATTTTAAAGATCTATTTTGTTTTCAAATTTTTTTTTTAGGCTGCATCATGGTTTGTATTTTCTCATAATTGATAGCCTTGTTATCAAGTTAGTTTTCAAAAATAACACATGGCTCTCATTAAGGCAAGTTCACTAATTAGGAAGTCAATCTAAAGTTGAGTTCTTTCACCGAAAACAGTGGCTTACATTTTGCTCATTAAGATTTAGGATAAGCTAACAAATCTGCCCAAATGTATTTGCAAAACATCGGCATTGAATTAGTAATACAAATGGTAACTTACCTGTGAACAAAATGCATTTTCTCAAGGTAAGTACAGCCTTTTGCAACATCCAGACATATATCTATAAGGTCACCCACACAGAGCAAGGGCTGATGAAAAAAAATAGAATGAGATTAATAGTTAATCTCAAAGCACTAATTATGAAGAAAAAAGATATTAAAATGCTGAACTTATAAGTCAAGTAGATGTAAAATAATAACAATTGGTGTTCTGTTTAATCAAAACTGGATAAATATCCACTTGTTTGCATATCCAAATGCCTGTGTAACAGCAAATCATAAGGATAAATAATGGAGTGGAAAGGATTTGTTTTCATTCTACATCATCATTTGGAATGAAGGTGATGATAGTTATGAAAGGCAGTGAGCTTGAAATACAGATGGACAATCTTATGTGGAAATTCCAAAATGATTTTCATATGTCTTTCATAAGGGATCAGTGAAATTTTATTTTTAAGAGGTTATTTTATCCTTAATATTAAAAAAAACTGAATTCCTGGCTATTTAAATCATGCACAATTAGAGTTTCTTTTTAAGGTTCACCAAGAATTGATCATATCAAGTTGATCCAAAAACCAGCAAAACAATAAAAATTCTCTCTCAAGTACAGTCAATAACCCAATTATCATATTATAACCCACTACACTTCTCACTTTCCAAAATCAATTTTTCAATTTACCGAGTAAACGAGAAATGCAATCCAGCACAAGTTTTTTGCAACTTTGAACCAGCTAAATATATTTGTAATCCAAACAGCATGAGCAAACAGTATGGAACCTCATTAACCAGTTACTCCATGCTTTATGTTGCTTCTTCTTAAAGCTCTTTCTACAGGTTCTGTTCTGTATGTCAGGCTTAAGTAAACACTATATAAATTGCAATTCAAAATACCCGAATGCTAAAGTCGGCTTGACTTTGTTCTGTAAATTACAAAATTAAGTAAGAGATTAACATTGAAAACATACAATCATAAAAGGGAAATACATGGTGTTATGGAAAGCTTGCCTGAAGATATGGGTTTGTAATGGTTTTATAAAAAGATGTTGAGAGAGTGAGAAGAGACAGAAATGAGTGGCAGGAAGGTGCAAGCAATTATGACTGAGGCAGCTGTAAAATTGCCTATTTTAGTTTAGAAATGTGATCAGCATTTGATTGCATGATTAGGGATTTTACTACCTGTTCATTGACAAATATCTTTTAGATTATACCGTGGTGAGAAGTTATCAAATTCATGTTGCTTATTTCCAAAACCACTAATGAAAAAGATCTGCAATGTTATTATTCATCTTCCAGCAATATAATGACAAGATTGTCAATTATTTCTGTCTAACCCACCTGAGACCCTCTAGCTCCTCGGAGATAACTGAGCAAGTCTCTTCCCTTCATAAGCTCCAGCAGCAAGAACTGTGGCTCATTCAGTAGGCATACACCCAGCAGCTTAACTATATGGGAATGATCAAAATGACTAAAAGAAAACAAAAGCTCACAATAAGAATTAAAGTTGCCGGAGTTATGAGAGCAGACATCTGCCAATGCAAAACACATCTAAAACAAAAGTAGTAATGAAAGACAACGATAAATTGTATTGTTTGTAAAAACACAAGAAAGAGGAAATTTGGAACAAAATCTTTATCCAGAGTTAATTTGAAGGAATCTTTTGTCAAAATGTTATCTTGGGAAAATTTGGCTCCATCTCTATGTACATAGTAAGATCAGCAAAAGTAATTGCTGTAGATAATGTAAAGTGTGAGTGTAGATAAGGCAAAATCAATTCCATACTTAGTTATCTCTGCCACTGAAAGTGGGCAGAGTCAATGTTTACATGACTTTATAGGCCAAACAACTGTATTTCAAAACTAAATGTATTTTGCAAATACATCTTACACATATAGGGTATGGATGAAGGAAGAACTGATTAATTTTTGATGAAGCTGTGGATCAAGATGGGTTTTCATTTGTTTCAACTAAAGTGGGGCAAGTTGATTTTAAGAGTGTTACAGGTTATTTTCACTGGAACACCATTGATTATTTAAGAAAGTTGTAAATTGTTTCGGTTACCATTTGTCAGAGATACCAACAGATGAACAGAGTTTTTAGAGCAGACTGTTAGATGCAAGGGGTAAAAAAAACCCTCAAGAAACAGTCATAGAGTCATACAGCACAGAAACAGACCCTTTGGTCCAACCAGTCCATGCTGAACATAATCCCAAATTAAACCAGTCCAACCTGCCTGCACTTGACCCATAGCCCTCCAAACATTTATTCATGTACTTATCGAAATGTATTTTAAACATTGTAACTGTGCCCACATCCACCACTTCCTCTGGAAGTTCATTCCACACACGAACCACGCTCAGCATTAAAAAAATTGTCCCCATGTCTTTTTTTTAAACCTTTCTCCTCTCACCTTAAAATTATGCTCCCTAGTCTTGAAATGCCCCACCCTACAGAAAAGACACCTGGTATTCACCTTATCTGTACCCCTGATGATTTTATAAACCTCTATAAGGTCACCAATAACCAATGAAAAACTAGAACACAGCCTATCCAGTCTCTCCTTATAACTCAAACCCTCAATTTCCAGCAACAGCCTGGTGAATCATTTCTGAATCCTCTGCAATGTAATAATATCCTTCCTATAATGGGAAGACCAGAACTGGACACAGTACTCTGGAGGAGGCCTCACCAGCGTCCTGTACAACCTCAAATAACATTCCAACTTCTATACTCAAAGGACTGAACAATGAAGGCAAGTGTGCTAAATGCTTTCTTAGCCACCATATCTATAAGTAATTGTGTCAACATTGAGTTAAAGAGATTGGCAGAGGTATGCACTGAGTGCCCTCTTTACTTTCAAGATGCAATTTCCACGTGCTAAAAAAGTCAGAATCTAATTGCACTTGTTTGTTAAGCACATTGTGACTAAAATGGAAATAAGTAAGAGAGAAAACCGAGATGTTTTGCATTTAATTGGCATTTTTCAAAGTCATTGGATGACTCAAAGAACTTTACAGCCAATTAAGTGCTTTTGAAGAGCAGTAACATCAGAAAACTGGATAAGAAGGCACAGCCCACTATTTCACTCAGGCACACATCAATATCAAACTCTAGGGAGGATTTCCATTTGGCCTAGTTATTGCAAAATCACAGATGTTTTATAAATAACACATTTAGAACTTTGATGCACCACATGTTCACAAGAACATTTCTTATACTTTTAAATAATCTGAGGAAAAATTTCAAATAACTTAACATTAGATCTGAACTTAAAGAAACTCCAAGTGAGGACAAGTTGTTTGCTTTCTTCAGCGAATGCCTTTAAGCAGCAGCATTGTATATCCTTCTGCTGCATATTTTGCCTCTGCTCCAACTCTCTTACTTTCTCTCTAAATACTTAATAGCACTTCTTCATTCATTACTTATTGGGACCTAAATCCTTTTGCAACCTTTCCTGTTCATAATCCCCAGCAGTTCCCAATCCCTTGCAGAATTTTGGGTTCTTGCACAGGTGTGAAATTGAAACACTCTGCTGTCAATATATAATCATGAAGTTATCCAACTAATTTCAATCCGCAGCACCTTTTCTCTTCAACGTTCGAAAAGCGTAAACATCTCACTCATTGCTTAACAGTAAACCTACCTCATTAAATAGGCCTCTTTGAGGAATTCAGATTTTTCATGATCAGTTGCCCCTTTTCTCAGAGTCTGGTAAGTAAATAAATATACTTTTGTGAAACTGCATTGCAATTTTGGCAAATAGCTTTCATCTTAATGTGAAGTTATTGATTTCAGTTGTGGCCTCTAAATACAATTGGTTTCTAAGATAGAAAAGAAATGTATTAGAGTGGAGACAACAAGGTGCAGAGCTGGATGAACACAGCAGGCCAAGCAGCATCATAGGAGCAGGAAGGCTGACGTTTCGGGCCTGGACCCTTCATCATTTT